CTGGGAGCCCCCAGCCTCCCCTACCCAGCCCTGGGGTCCCACCTTCCAAGCATCACCCCGGAGGCAGGCACACCCGGGGCTGAGAGGGCAGCAGGTTCACCTGATGGGGACACAGCGTCCTAAGGGGCCTTGGTGTCCTCATCTGACCCCAGGTGGGGACCCTGAGAGGATCCTGGCCCGGCCCGTGGTGGGCTCTCTGGTTCTGGATGCACCCAACGGGGGCCAGGTGGCTGTGGGAGGGGAAGGGACACCCACTAAGTGCTAGGTGATGGCTAAGGGAGTTTGTGGTCCCTCTCTCTCCGCCCGAGGGGTCCCAGCCTGCCCGTCCCTGCCATCTGGCCACCTGCCCTGGCTTGCATACCTGCAGTCACGGGCAGCTCACTCCCGATGAGGTGCCTGCTCCTGTAATGGCTCAGCCTGGCTGAAAGTCCTTAATCAGAGGGGTCCCAGCAGCTGGACGCCTGCTGCTCACAGTCCCTGCCCACTCCGGGGACCCCTGGGCCAGTCTCACTGTTTGCCCAGGGCAAGGATCTGAAGACGGGGTGTCCTGAGCGCCTGGCCACATGGCTACAGGACCCTGCAGCCCCAGCCCTTACACACCCCTCCTCCCTGGCTGCTCCTTCTTGGGCCAGCCTCTGTTTTTGCCTCCCAGAAAGTGGGGGCTCCCCCAGCCCCCCTCGGGTGAGCAGGACCATGCCCTCCCTCTGTGCGTGAGTGAGCACAGGGAGGTCCCGAGCCGGCTGCCCTGCGGTGCCAGTCACCCAAGGAGGGTGGCTTCAACGAGCAGTCACCAACTCTCGCGTGGCTGGGAGCCCGCCTGTCTGTCCGCCTGTCTGTCCGCCTGTGTTTCTGTCTATCTGTCGCCAAGCAGCTGCACTCCCCTGGTCCCACCTTGCCCGTGTGGGGCCCGGGATTCAGCCTCTTTATTGAAGGCTATTCGGACTCAGGGCTGAAAGCTGACTCAGTGGGAAAGGCACTTGGGTTCTGTTCCAGAATGTTCTGGAACATTCTCCTTCCCAGAGCGCAGTGACTCCCGCTCCACCTCCAAGACTGTTCCTCCTGAGCACCGTTTGCGTTCATCTCTTCCCTGAGGACAACTCCTGTACATGGTTACTTTAAAGAAAGCTTTTATTAAAAAAAAAAAAAAAGCCATAAATAGAAGAGGTGCATGATGGGGCAGACGCTGTGGCACCGTTGGCTAAGTTGCCAGTCCGGACGCCCATGCCCTGTCACCAGGGGCCTGGGTTCAAGTCTTGATCCCTCTGCTTCTGATCCCGCCTCCTGCAGGTGCACACCCTGGGAGGCAGCAGGTGCTGGCTCAGGGGGGAGACTGGATGGAGTTCCAGGCTCCTGGCTCCATCCGGGCTGTTGTGGGCATTTGGGGGCCATTGGAGGAGTGAACCAGCAGGCTGGCTGCCACCCCCTCCTCCAGGCAGGGATGGGCTTTTCCTGACTTTGCACTTGTCACTCTGCTTTAAAAAATCACCTTTCTGACCATGTCACTCCCAATGGACTGAGACTGTCCCTGCTGTGGGGACAGATCTTTGCCCCGGACCCGCTCTGCTCCCTTGAGTCCTTCTTTGGTCCCAACGTCACCCCTGGTGGGCGTGGCTTCTGCCTTCCCTGGGGCAGGTGCAGGGGACGGGGCGGCGTCCGTTCTGTCCAGTGCTGAACCCCAGGCTGGATCCCTGCTGGGAGGATGCGCCCGCCTGTGATGGCTCCCAAACAGGGAAGCTGAGTCACAGCCAGTCTCTGACTTCCCGGAGCCCCCCACCTAGAACCGGAGAGCAGGGTCTCTGGGGCCAGTGGGTCCCCACCACCCCAACTCGAGGGCTCCGCGTGTGGGTGACATAGGAAGAAACCAGCAGAAGCAGACAGGCCCTGGGGGCCCCCACAGGCCCAGGCTGACCCCCCGCCCCCCAGGGCTTGGTGCTCAGTGACCAGGGACAGACTCCATGGCCTCTGGGGCTTCCCCTGACCTTCACCGCCCACCAGGCCCAGAAGTCCACAGGGACACTGTACCACTCTGTCCCAAGCTAGGGACCCCATCGGTCTCCCCACCTCTGCTCCCGCTCACCCCAGCCCCCTTCCTGGCTGTGACAAAGGGGCCCAGTGACCCCAGAGTTGCCATGGAGACCGCGGGATCCGCTGGGGTCCCCCCACCCCCACCCGCAGCCTCCTGCTGTCCAGGAGCGGCCCCGCCCGCCTGTGGTCAGCACAGGCTCCCTGGGAGACTCCCGCCCCGCCGGCTCCAAGCCCCTGGGGTCCGTCCTGGAAGGACCATCAAAGGACTTGGCCATTCCTGATCCCGAGCCAGGAGGAAGCTGTGCTCAGCCACAGGGGACGAAGGAATTTGCCATCCCCTGAGCTGCGACCCCTCGTGATTTATAGGGGGGCCACTGTCCCCAGGCCCTGGCTGACGGATCTCAAGTGGAAGATGGAATCCAATTACCCTCGATGAGACCCAGCTGGCTGGGGGAGCCGCATGCCTGCGTGCCAGGGCCCCTGCCTGGACTGACCGCCCATCTCCGCCTGGGACAGCCACTTTGGCTGTTGCTGGAGATGGGTTCTTGCAGGCACAGGCAGGCCCAGGACTGGCCACGGCCTCAGTCTGGCCGCCGCCCTGCACCCCGCACAGGTGCCATTCTGCAGATGGGTAGACTCAGGCCAAGACCAGCAGCCCCTCTCAGAGCTCCCCAGTGAAAGTGGTGCCGGGAGCATGCTTGAGAGCGAGCGACTGTCCCATTCTGGCCATGGGGATGGGGGACAGGCCCCTGAGTGAGACCAGGAAGCTGAGCAGGGGGTGGCTGGGACCAAGAGTGAGGACGCCGGGCGACAGTGTTCCAGGCAGAGGGAATGGCACGAGCAAAGACCCGGTGGCCTTAAAGACTGTGCAGCTGGAGCTGGGAGCTGGGGGCCAGGGCAGATGGGTGCCGATGCATGACGGACCAGAGGAAAGAGGGATGGGTGAGTGGAAGGAGCCCCTCATGCCTTCCCACGCTCCCCCTCCCCCCGGCACAGGGCGGGTCCCTGCCACCCTCATGGGAGCAAGCGTCTGTGGCCTGTGGCTGGGGAGCCCCCTCCCTCCAGACTTGGCTCTGGCCTGGTTCTGCCCGGCCACAAACAGGTCCGACCAGTTCTCCCACAGCTCAGACAGGGCTGGGCCCAGCGTTGCCAGCAAAGGCAAAGCCTAGAGAGCCAGAGGGAGCCAGGCAGCCTCCTGGGCCCTGTGGCCTGGGTCAGGAGCTCCAGGGTGCTGAGGGCTCTGCTCACTCCAACCCCACCCCCAGGGGGAGCGAGAGCTCAGGACGGGGAGCCAGGTCTGGCCCACTGCAGGGTCCAGCCTGCCACCTCCCTCACCTCCTCTTCCTGGCCTCCGGGATACTGGATTCTTCACCCCACCCACCCAGCCACCCTACCCCAAGGCCATGGCTGCACCTGCACCTGCTCTTCCTTGGAGGAACCCCAACCCCAGTTGCCACCCCTGTTGGCCCACTATGGGGTGCAGCATATGGGCACAGAGCCTGCACCGGGCTGCCTCGGCTCCACTGCCAGTCCCGCCATGCCTCAGTTTCCCTGGCTGTACTCCCAGGGTTGAGATCAGTTCTTGGCCTCCCTCGCCTCAGCCAGCCCCCCCTGCCCTAAGCACTCAGGGCGGGCTCCTAGCCCCTGCCAGTCCCTGCCACCTGCTGTCCTGGCTCAGGTTCCCCCAGGGCCCAGCTGTCCAGGCCCCTGCTGATGGCTGCTGCTCGGAGCTGCAAGTCCAGTGCCCAGGGGCCTCCTGCTCTCAGCTGGAACCCATGCAGCCACCCCCACCCCACCCCGCTGAGCTCAGCCCCTCCCGCCAGAGCCCTCTCCTCCCTGGCTCTCCATCTGTGGGTGCTGGGAGCTCAGTCCCCCTGGCGCTATCTCCTCTCCCTCCCTCCCTTCCTTTCCCCGGGCTATCATGTCCATGCCTCTGTCTAATGAAGTCCGTGGATCTCGCTTGATGCCAAGGCTCGGTGACCACTCACACCTGTCTCCACCTGGGCTTCCAGGGCTGGGTGCGGGGAGGGTGGGGAGTGGCTGCTCATGGCTGTCCTTTGGGGGTATGGAATGTTCTGGACAGAGGTCATGGTGACGGCTGCACAGCCTTACAAATATACTAAGAGCCGCTTTAACATGGCGTGAATGATATCTCAGTACTAACGTTTTTCTTTTTTTAAGATGTATTGATTTACTTGAAAGGGCCAGGCTGCAGCCAGGAGCCAGGAACTCCACCCAGGGCTCCCTTGTGAGCGGTAGGGACCCACATCCCTGAGCCACGCCCTGCTGCCTCCCAGCGTGTGCGCTAGCTGGAAACTGGATCAGAAGCAGAGCCAGGATTCGAACCAGGCACTCGGGCGCCCCAAGCGGTCAACTTAACCACTGCACCAAAGCTTGGCCCATTTTTTAATGGAAATAGATTCCAGAAATGAGGTCTTCCTCGTGACCTGTGTGTTGCTGGGGCTCCACCCATCCTGCACTCCGTCTCCCCACGTCTTTAACTCTGTCTTTGGTGAACAGAGGTTTTCAATCTGGACAGAGCCCGATTTATCCACTTATTCTGCGGCTGGTGCTGTGAGGGTGGGTATCCCACTGAAGACCCCCTGCCTCCCCGGAAACACCCCTTGAGCCAGCACACCCCTTCCTCAGCAGCTCCGGGACCCCCGCCCCCGGCTGCAGGTGTCTCCTGCCCCCCCCCCCCCAGCCGGCGCCATCTCCCTGCCCACAGCCAGATCTGTGGTTCATCTTCCAGTCCCCGGGACGGGCATGAGGTCTGGCGCGCACTAGGTGCTCAATAAAATCTACAGACACGAAGGCGAGGGCCCGGGGCCCAGCTGGGGCTCATTAAAACTGTCCATTAGCTCTAAACACCAGCTCATCAGGAACATCTGAGCGAAGCCAGAGACGCCGACACGCTAGGAATGTTCCACTGTCTCCCAGGCGGGAGCCCGGATCACGCACACTCAGACCTTCGCAAGCGGATTTTATTCTGGCCTCTTCCCAGCACCCGCTGTGGCTGCAGGACTCCCACCCCCACCCCCAGTATCGCCGGCCTCCCTGTGGGCGGGGTCTCCTAGTCCTTCTCCTCGCCGTGCGTGATGACGTAGCACAGGTTCCGGTAGTCCAGGTTGCCGCACACATCTGGCGGGAACGCCGCGAACATCTGCTTGACCTGGAGGCGGGGAGCAGGGAGTCAGCCTGGCCCCCCACCCCCACGCCCTGGCGGAAGTGGGGGCGGGGCCTGGCGCCGTGGGGATGAAGAAGCCCCACCCCCCACTCACCTCCTCCTCGCTGAATCGGTCGGCCTGGGTCATGAGCTTCTCTTTGATGCTATTCCAAGGAGGAAAACAGTCACGGCCAAGGCCATCGCCTGGGGCTGGCACTGGGAGCTCCCAGGCGACTGTGTGGCCTGGGGCAGCTTCCCCCAGGGACCGCAGGTCCCCTCCCTGCCCAGCCACGGCCACGGGGCGCTTTCTGATGCCCTGCGCCTGGGCCCCTGGGGGTCTCTTCGGCCTCGCCCAGGACACACTGTTCCCAAGCCTATGATTGTCACCGATGTCTGGCCTGGGAAGGCCTGCGCGGGTCCCAGTCCTCGCTCAGTACTCAGTACTCAGTACTAAGTACTCAGTACTAAGATCCTTCTCTTACCAAGGGGAAACCGAGACTGTGAGCCGAGTGACGCTTGCGCAAAGCCCGGGAGGCGGAACATTCTGGAAACATCTACGCGCTAGGCCTGCTCTAGAGCTAGTCACAGATTCAGCCCTCGCTGGCGTCATTTCCTTGGGACCTGGGGCCAGGCCGGGCGTTGCTGTGGGTTCAGCAGCCGAAGCTGCCTGGGGCCGGCGGAGGTGGCAGAGGTGGGGCTGGGAGGGACTTCCGGGGGCTCCGGGGGGGGCAGGATGGGCTCAGAGGTGCCTGGCAGCAGCGGCACGCGGGCCGGGTTTCCAGCTCCCTGAGCTGGGGACTGGGTTTTAACCAGAGTCTCCCCTGTAGCCCATCTGGCTGGTAGCCAGAGCAGCCAGGGCCCCTTGCTCTCAAAACTGGGTCCCCGCAGACCTGTCTCCAGGAGACACCCGAGGGTTCCTCCAGGCCATGCCGCCGAGAGGCGCCCCTGGTCCCCAGGATGCAGGTGGAGGCTCAGGTCCCAAGGGAGGGATGGGGAGGCGAGAGCCACAGCCTGGTGACACCCGAACAGCGTCTGTGGAACCCACCGCCTTGGATGAGGGCGGGTGAGAGGGACAGACCCTCCCCATCTGCACCCCCCCCCACTGCCAGCCCCTCCCTCCCACAGGCCCAGCCACTAGGGGGCAGAGACAGGGGGACAGGGGCGACTTACAAGTCAGCCTTGACGAAACCCTTTTCTTCAGTGTCGAACACCTTGAAGGCGTGCAGAATGGTCTCCTCCGGGTCCGTGCCTAGAAACAGCGCAGCCAGGGCAGGGTGGAGAGGGCCCCTTGGGGACAGGCGCCACCCAGGGCCCTCCGCAGAAGGGCGCACGGCTCTGGGGGAGCCCCTGCTCGGCAGGGGGTGCTGAGCCCCCTCTGAAACAGGGGCGCACCCTGCGTGGTCCCAGTGAGCTACCTGCACGACTGGACCCGGCCACCTCACCAGACGTCTCGCTGTCCTCGTGTTGCAGAGGGAGAAACGGAGGCCCAGAGGGGTGAAGGCGCTCCCTCGAGGTCTCGCAGCTGACACAGCCGCAGGGTCCGGGAGGTTGGGGTCCACTTGTGACCCCAGAGAGGATCAGGGAGCTGTGAGTGGGGGTGGGGCTAAAGGCCGGGGCGCGGGCACTGGCACAGCAGGGGTCTGCGAGGCTGCCGCAATATGGCGCTGGCTCCAGTCCCGCTCCCTGCTAATGCGCCTGGGAAAGCAGTGGAAGACGGCCCAGGTGCTCAGGCCCCTGCACCCACAGGGAAGACCCAGATGGAGCTCCTGGCTCCTGGCTTCAGCCTGGCCCAGCCCTGGCCATTGCAGCCATTTGGGGAGGGACCCGGCGGAGGGAAGACCTCTCTGTGTCTCTCCTGCTCTCTCTGTCACTCTGCCTCCCACATAAATAAATCAATCTTAGAAACAGGATTCTGAAAGCATCCAGGGAATGGGGAACTCACTGTACCGACAGGGAAACTGAGGCTGAGAGAGAGAGGGAGGGGCTTGCGTGAAGTCTCCCGGGCTGTGTGGATGCCAGTGGGTGACCCGGCGGTCCTCGCCTTGGCTCCTCCTCCCGTCACACTGCACCCCCCATCTAGCTCCCCGTGCACCCCGGGTGCTGCGGGCTTCCTTCAAAGCTCAGATGCGTTAGCAGTGAAGTGGGGGCGGGGCCAGCAGGGCGGGGCGTCCCTGCCGCCAAGATGGGGACAGCCTCACAGCCGTCCGGGCCACGAGGCCAGGGCAGTCCGGGCGGGACACACAGTGCGCCCGGCTTATCACAGAGGATGCCGACTTCCGGGCCTTGCCTGAGGTCCCACACAAAGGAGAAGGGGGCGTTTAAGCCACCTGTGTGAACTGTGGAGTCCCTGACGGTTCTGTGCCTGTGTGCTCCTGCCAATCAGACTGGGCCAGGGCTGCCTGTGCCTCCTCCATCAGACTGGGCCAGGGCCACCTGTGTCTCCTCCATCAGACTGGGCCAGGGTCGCCTGTGTCTCCTGCATCAGACTTATCAGGGCTACCATACCTCCTCCATCAGCCTTGGCTAGGGCTGCCTGTGTCTCCTCCATCAGACTGGGCCAGGGCCACATGTCTCCTCCATCAGACTTACCAGGGCTACCACACCTCCTCCATCAGACTGGCCAGCACTACCATGCACCCGGCCAGGGCCACCTGTGTCTCCTGCATCAGATTGGGCCAGGGCCACCACATCTCCTCCATCAGACTGGGCCAGGACCACCACATCTCCTCCATCAGACTGGGCCAGGGCTGACTGTGCCTCCTCTATCAGACTGGGCCAGGGCCACCTGGGCCTCCTCCATCAGACTGGGCCAGGGCCACCTGTGTCTCCCCTGTTAGACACGGAGTTCATTTGAGTCACTCAGATTCTCTGACACTGGCCCGGGGTGACCAAGCTGGCCACACTGAACCCACTGGCCTGGCAGCTCCTGGCGGCAGGGCAGAGGGAGCCCATGCAGTCAGACCAGAGACTGCCCAGGGTCCCACTAGGGCAGGGCTCCAGGTCGGCTGAGCAGGCAGAGTGGTGGCGGCGAGGGGTAGGCAGGGGTGCAGCTCCAGGCCTGCGGCACTGGAGCTGCCGAAGCCACTGGATGGGGCTGTGGCGTGGAGTCTCTGTCCTGTGCCACGGCCCGCCAGCTTCCAGCTGCGAGCCCACCCTCCCGGGGACCATGCCCTGGGCTTCGCTCAGGCCCAGCGGCCCCCGGCGGCTCACTGCCATGGGCAGGCTGGGAGGGCAGTGCCTGCGCCCGCCTCCCCAGAGAGAGCCTCTGCCCCCCGGGGACGGCAAACCTCATAAACCCGGCTGCCTCCCCGGCGCAGCTGGGCCTCTCAGGACAAAGTCTCCTCGTCCCAATTAGCGGCGAGAGGCGGCCCCTGCCCTCCCGCGCAGGCCTCTCCCCCCACCAGCTGGTCTCACGCAGGCCGGGCCAGCTGGAGACCCCGCCCCGGCGCCCCTGCGAAAATGAGAAAAGGCTGTAGCCACCAGGCCCTGCCAGGCCCCGGCTGCAGCACCAGCCCGGCCACGGGCCCGCCGGAACTTCAGGCCCCCGCAGAGCTGGGGTCCCCCGTCTCCCTGAGCACCCCAGAAGGGTCTCAGAGCTAAGCCCTCGTTCTTGGAGCAAGGCGCGAGCCCCAGCCCAGGACGGAGGGGTCCACCGTCGTCCCCAGCGACTCCAAGGCGGTTTCCCCAGGCCCTCTCCCATGCGTTGCTCTGGGTGCAAGCTGGACACCCTTGTATCCATCTGCTCTGTCCAAAAACCGCTGGCTAGAGCACCTCGCCCTGGCCTCCTGGGCTTCTGCGCCCTTCAGGAGGTTCCCAAGGATGCTCGGGACTTGGCTGTCCAGCCTCAAGTTCAAAGCCTGTTCCAGAGGAGGTTGCCTGCCCCCCTCCAGCCCCCCAGTTCCCTCATTTCCAACACCCAGCTGGACGGTGGGTCCCCTTCCAGCCCTGGGAGCAGCTCCGAGCCTCCTGCCCGCTCCAGCAGGTCACGGCTCTCCCCCAGGGAGAATGCAAGGTTCATTCTGGGAGCGTGTTACCTGATGGCTCCTAAGACCACGCAGCCACGAGAGCAGGTGGGAGTCGCCCACAGAGGGAGAGGGGCTTTGCATACGTAAAGCTAGGAATTCAAGGCAGGAGATCACGCTGGGTCCCTGCTCCCGTGGGCCCTGAACCCCACGACAGACATCCTCGGGTGAGGGAGGCTTGGAGAGCCGAGACGGGGGATGGACGTGCAGAGGCGGGAGTGGAGCAGCTGCCGGAAGCCGGAGGAGCCAGGGGAAACCGCTGCCTTGGACACCAGCAGCCCTTATGGGAGTGCCCGAGTTCGAGTCCTGGCTCCCCTCTCCACGCCAGCTTCCTGCCAATGCAGCCCCTGGGAGGCAGCAGGTGATGGCCCAAGTGCCTGCCACCCACAAGGGAGACCCGGATGGAGTTCCAGGCTCCTGGCTCTGGCTTGACCCAGCCCCAGCTGTTGTTGTGGGCATTCGGGGAGTGAACCAATGGACGAAAGATTTCTCTCTGTCTGTTTTTGCCTTTCAAATAAAATGCAAATAAATAAAGAAAAATTAAACAGCAGGGAAACAGGGGTGCCTGCCCATGCCAGCCTGGGGGTGTGCAGGGCCAGGCCGTGACCTGACCAGACACAGCCGAGGCAGGGAAGCCGGGGGTGGGGGGTGGGGGGCATGAGGCAGCAGCAGTCCTGGCCTCCCCTCCTGACCTGGGGGTGTCACCACAGAGGGGTTCCCCGGGAGAGAAAGGGGGCACAGGTACCTCCCCCTACCCTCCAGCCCCAGCTTGGTGCTGGGTCTCAGGAGAGAGCAGTGGTTAGAGCCGGGGGTCGGGGCTGGGGCTCCATCCTGGCCACTTGTGGCTGGACACCTGGGGTAGGGGTCACAGCCTCTCCCAGCCTACATCTCCCAGCTCTAGGGGCTGTGGTCACTGCAGCACAGCACAGCTGAGCACCTGCCTGCACCAGGGCGGGCCACGGAGGCCCTTGGAGACCCCCTATGTCCCCCCAACCTCCTCGGCCTGCAGCAGCCCCCACCATCTGCAGGGGGCCATGGGCAGGGGGACGGCAAGGAGGGGACAGGACGTGGGGGGCACTGCGCTGAGGGTGGCGGAGCCAGTGCAGTGCAGGGGGGTGGGGGAGGGACTAAGGCAGGGCTCTGTGCACCCAGGGGCCTGGCTGCCGCACCCCTCCTCCTGTCCACTCCCCGTACTCCCCAGAGCCTGGCTCACCCTTCAGCTTCTCCCCAAACATGGTCAGGAAGATGGTGAAGTTGATGGGGCCCGGCGCCTCTTTCACCATGGCATCTAGCTCCTCGTTCTTGACATTGATGCGGCCTTCGGGGAAAGGGGGAGGGGTGGGGGGCGGCAGCATGAAGGGGGCATGAAGGGACCCAGTGTGCAGGCAGCAGGGGACAGTAGAGCTGGGGCCCACGGTGGGGGGTCTGCCTGGAGGTGGGGGCTCTGGGAGTCCTAGTGGTCCCTGGGCACCCAGAGGATGCTCACACCCTCTCCCACCCCAGCCCCAGCGTCTTCCCCTGTACACCCAAGGCCCCCTGCGCTGGGCCCTTGCAAAGCCCCTTCCTGTCCCCGAGCTCTCGCCTCCTCTCACAGCCAGGAGCCCCTGCTGACGCCTCCGCCCCTCCTTCTGGAGCCCCCGGCCCGCCCCAGGCTCCCCACGCGCCCCGCCCGTGGCTGGGCACCCACCCAGCGCGGCAAAGGTGTCCCTCAGGTCCTCCTTGTCGATGAAGCCGTCCCGGTTCTGGTCCATGATGGTGAAAGCCTGGCAGAGACAGGGACTGAGCGCCCCCCACCCCCCGCCACCCAGGCCCAGCCACCCCAGAGCTGTCCTGCTGACCACTGCCCGAGGCGCCACCCAGCTGCCCTCTCTGAGCGCCTACAGTATACGGCAGGCTGCGGGCCTCCGGGCCAATCTCTCACATCAGCCTTATGGCCAGGATGACTGAAGCTTAGAGAGAGAGAGTGAGAGAGGGGCCCAGCTGGGGGTCCCAGGCTCGGAGGCCGGCCGTGTGATGACGTCATGGGCAGCCACAAACCTCTTTAAACTCCTGGATCTGGGACTGATCGAACATGGAGAAGACATTGGAGGTGGCGCCGCCTTCTGTCCGCTTCCGGGCTCTCCTGGGTGCCTGCAGGGACCGTCGTACTGTCAACCCAGCCCCTGGTGCCCCCCGCACCCCATCTCCCAGAACCCCGCAGCCCTGAGGGACACCCACTGCACACAGACCAGGCTCCTGGCGGGCTCCCCCAGACGCTGGGCTCACCCCCACCCCGGGCTGCAGCATCTGAGTGGGAGCTGCTGAGACTGTCCCCGGAGTTCTCAGGGTGATCTGTCCCTTGCTGATCACCCAGGACTTCTACTGCCTGCCACCTCAGTCCCCTGCTCTGCCCTCAATCCACTGTCACCCTTCAGGGTCAGCGCCTCTGCCCCCTCCTCCAAGAGGCCTTCCCTGACTACCACTGTCCCTGGCCCCACCGTGTCCGGTCTCATCTCTCTGTGTCTCCTGCCCCCACTAAATGTGGACCTCCCTAAGAGACAAGGCCCAGGGTGGTGTCACCTCTGGTGGCTCCTGTCCCTAGCCTGGCTCCCAGCAGGGACCAGTCCATGTTTGCAATTCACCGCACAGAGCTCAAAGCAGCAGGTGGAGCCTCCGACCACCCACGTGGAGTAATGGGGCCCTGGCTGGCCCTGCTGCCCCCAGGGGCTGCTTTCAGGATGTGGTGGCTCCTGAGAGCCCCCCATTAGGCACTCACTGGAAGCTCTGGGTCCCCAGGACAGCCCGAGGGGTCTTCCCTCAGCTGCCAGCCTTGGCCCCACAAAGAGACTCCGTGGGGTGGCAGAGACCCGGGCGCCCCCTGCCAGCTCCCGCCTCCAGCTCATCCCCCTTCTCCTGCCTCCCAGTGCTTGTGTGGTCTCCCCTCCCACCCCCCACCCCCTCCCTCGGGCTCCCTGGCGGTATGGGGAGCAGCAGCACCCGGAGGATTTATAATTAGCTTTTACTGGGCGCCCCGTCTGCACTAATCCTTTGAAAGGGGGCTGGCCGGGCGGACGGTGCCTTCCGATGCTGTAAAACCTCGGCGATATTTATAAATCCCTTCAGACACCATCAGCAAGAGCTCTTCCCTGCAGAGCTCATCGCCCCTAATTATACAGACGTTCCCCTCTGGTTAATAAAAAAAGGATCGCATCCGTCTGCGGCCTCTTGCACCCATCCTGGTCCGCACGGCCCGGCTGCAGCTCGGAGCTCCCCACAGCAGGAAGGAGCCACTATCCTCTCCTGGCACCACAGGGGCTGAGGCCCAGGGCTCCCAGCCCTGACCCTCTTCTGGCCTGGGGGGCCCCTAGGAAGTCAATGACCCCCCACCCCTGCCCTGGGAGGAGATCTTAGGACAGAGGGGGGTCGCCTAGTTCCAGGGCCCACCTGCTGCTCACAGCCTCCACAATGTACAGACATTGGCTTGTCTTTCCCGAGTTTATCAGACCAAGCAAATGCCTCCCTGGAGGTGACCCAGAGCTGAAGCCAGTCCTGTCCTTGTCCCCAAGGACCTGGGGACAGGTAACCCACAGAGGGTGGCAGAGGGAAGGGTGGATCCTGCACCACGCCGGTGGCCAAGAAGAGGCCAGGATAAGGGACCCACAGGGGACACAGGCAAGAGTGACCAGCGCTGGAAGTGCCCTCCACCCTCTTCTTCCTCTCTCCCCTAGCCTGCACCTGGGAGGCTCCCACCAAGTCTCAGAAAACAGAGGCCCAGCTAGGAGCCCACACGAATGGACCGGCCACCCACAGAGAGCATCCAAGGCGAAGACGAGGTTGGACCAGCGTCAGGGTCAAGGTCGAGTTCAAGGATGTCGGAGGAAGGAACCAAGTCAAGGTAGGGGTGAGTACAGGCATGAGATAAAGGTTAGCATCACAAGTGAAGTCAGGGTCAGGGGTCAGGGGTTGTGATCAGGAAGGGAGGGACGGCAGCCCCAAGCTGTGCACACGTCCTGGGGAGGGCAGTGGAGGGCAGGAGAGGTGGCCCCAGCCTACCATGGTCTGAGTGCTCCCTGGCGCTGCAGTGGGGTGGAGGTGGCCCGGGGACCCTCTTTAAATAGTGCTCCTGCCCGAGGCAGGCGCCAGACAGGACAGGGGCCCCCCTGCCAGGCGTCCGCCCTGGGCCGTGGGGAGTGGGTGGGGATGGGAGATCCAAGGGCTCTCCGCCGGTGCTGGGCCAACTGTTTGCTCTTCAGCCAGGGGACCGAGCTCCGGAAGGGGCAGGTGGCCAAGGGCACACAGGCAGCGGAGGCTGCAGCCAGCTGGGCAGACTTGGCCGTGGGCCGTGGGGGGCCGGGGAGCACTCGCAGGGCGGGGCCGCCCACGCCAGCCAGGGACAGCAACGACGTGGCAGGGCCCCCGAGTGTGTGCCTCTGGGAACAGCGGAGGTGGGAGGGGGCTGCGGCCCTGCCCTGGTCTGCCCACAGGGGGGCTTCTGCCTCACTGCTGTCTGCCAGGCCCTCAACCACCTCCCTGGCCCACCTCCTGCCTCTGCACACAGCAGGTTCTGGGGAAGCCAAAAGACAAAGGCAAAGTGGGGGTGAGAGCACTCGTGTGGGTGCCCACGCTGGCAGCCCCAGCTCAGCCTCCCGACCACCTGGCCACACAGGCGGCTGCGTGGGACCTGCAGACCTCTGATGGGCTTCCAGGGCCGGCAGTGCAGGGCTCCGGCGCGGAGCCCATGGGGCCCCGGAGCTGGCCTGGGCCTCTGGGCCCTGGTACAGCTAATCCCTTGCCCTGGAAGGACAGAATTCAGTAACAATAAGAAAGAGGCTGACTGTGGAAAGCATAGCAGGTGTAGACCATGCGTCCCCACGTCGGATCCTGACCCCGGGTGAGAAACTGAGGCACACACAGCTTGTCACTCACCCGAGACTGCTAGGGGGTGGGACTAAAATGAGCCCCTCTTTCCAGTCGTTCCAGAAAGAACCTTCCAGAACGTTCTGGCCATCTTTCCCCTGCCCCGCCCCCAGTCGGGGCTGACTGCAGCTGGTTCCAGCCAGCCTGTCTGAGCTCCCAGAACACCTGGGGTGGCGCCCACACCAGGCCTGGGGCTGGGCCTGCCTCAGGGTCTCCCAATGGCTTCCTCTAGTGGTGCCCCCTCAGGGCACTGACCACTGTGTTCAGCAGGCCGGGGCTCTGGGGACAGAAGCCCCAAACTCCAGCCCCAGCCGGCCATGACTGCCATTTCTGGGGCTGTGCAGCAGGACACCAGCCATGGGGTACCGGGTACAGCCTCCCCTCGCCAGGTCTGCGAGCCTGCGCTGGCGCCTCCTGGCTCTGGGCTCGCTGAGCAGGCAGAGGAGGGGATGCCAGCCGGCGGCCGGCGGCCGCTCTAACTCCCCCTGGCTTCCTGCTGGCCCGGGGCCTCCTCAGGCGAGGCTCAGAGCCTAAGCCCCTGTCTCCGGGAGCGGGGATCACGCTGGGGACGTGGAGGGGCTCCGGAAGGCTTAGGACGGCCTCGGGGGATGTGCAAGAGACGTGCAGGGTGACAGGCGGTGAATCCCGAGCTGGCAGAGGCCGGGGCACCACCACCCCCATCCCGGGGCAGGGGTAGAGCGGGGAGGGTGTGGCAGCCCTGGGCCCTCAGCGACACCCAGACCCTCAGTTTGTCCCATCTGAGAAGTGGCACCAGCACCCCGGCCCCCTGGAAGCTGCCATGGGGCTGCCTAGGGAGTGGAAGGGGTGGGGTGGGGCGGCTTTGGTGTCGCTGGCTGGGCTTGGAGTCCTGGCCCAAAACACTTCTTTTTTGTTTTTGTTTTTGTTAAGATTTCTTTATTTATTTGAAAGAGTTACAGAGAGGTAGAGGCAGAGAGAGAGAGAGAGAGAGAGAGAGAGAGAGAGAGGTCTTCCTTCCACTGGTTCACTCCCCAGACGACTGCAACGGCTGGAGCTGGGCTGATCCGAAGCCAGGAGCCAGGAGCTTCTCCTGGGTCTCCCATGTGGATACAGGGGCCCAAGGACTTGGGCCATCTTCTACTGCTTTCCCAGGCCACAGCAGAGAGCTGGACGGAAGTGGAGCAGCCAGGACTTGAACCAGAGCCCATATGGGATGCCGGCACTGCAGGCGGCAGCTTTACCTGCTACACCACAGCGCCGGCCCCCAAACCACTTCTCCAAGTCCCCTGGTCCCCGACCTCAAGTGGGGATACCGGGTCAGGTGCCATCGCTACAGGGTGACACTGACCCCACTGCCCAGCGGGCCTCGGCAGCCCCTGGGGTCTGAGACACTCCCGGAGCCGTCTCTGCTCCCAGCCAGGGGACCATGGGAACAAGGTCCATGCCCTCCCAAGCCCAGTGGGGGAGAACCTGTCAGATCAATAACCAAACAAACCAGGCGTGGACAGTAGGGGACGCCGGGGGTCTGCCATCTTCGCAACTTTCCTGCAAACCTGAAAGTGTTCTCACATCCAAGCCTCATTTTAAGACTATATACTGAACAGAAACCATTTGTAGAAGATTCTAGAAAATACGAACTAAGCTCTAGCGACAGACAGCACACGGGTGATTTCCCAGGGTGGGGATAGAGCAGGACAGGGGTGGCGGGAGGGAGCCCCAAGGGCTGCTGGGAAACGCGGCGGGGTGTGTGTGTGTGTCCTCTCTCTGGGCTCTGGATTCTAAGCTCTGGCTGGTGCTGTGGCACTCCGGGGGGGGGGGGTGCATGCAGGAGGATTTCTGATCCTGGGACACGGAATTCAGAGATACGTTCATTTCGGAGCAAAAACACTGCAATGGGCCAGTGCTGTGGTGTAGTAGGCTAAGCCTCTGCCTGCAGTGCTGGCATCCCATATGGGCGCTGGTTCGAGTCCCGGCTGCTCTTCTTCCGATCCAGCTCTCTGCTGTGGCCTGGGAAAGCAGTGGAAGATGGCCCCAGTGC